ATAGTGGTGCCAGCAAATGGAATCATTAAGTCAGCTATCACAGCTGTTCATAGCAGCACTCATAACTGTTTCTCTGCCTTGATTGCATACCTGAGGCCCTTTGGGATTGTTATTGAACTCTTCTACCATATCCATTCTCTGTTTAGGATTGACAGAACCATCCACTGTTGCATACTTGAGCCCCAGTCGCTGGAGATGCACAGCCACAACTTTCAGCATACTCGTCCACTGAGAGACAACAACACTGGAGAGAGAACAGGGAGTTTACAACAAGTTCTGTGCACTGTAACAGTTTGGTTATTGCAGTCTCCCCCAAGGGGACACAACAACTCAGGTACTCTTCCCCACTACAAACTGGAGCCAGGGCCCTTCTCAATTCAGAAATAGATTCACCTGTAGGTGCAGTGCTAAAACCTGCTGTGGAAGGGTAATACCCAATGAACTTCAGATAAATTAAGCCTCTAACTTTCACCTCTATTTTTGGATTTTACATTTCCACCTACCAATCACAATTCTGAGTCACAATGCTGAGCTTTTTCTGCAAAACACAAAAATCAATACCAACATCAAACCTGGATTCCCCTGAGCCTCTCACTCCCCCAAGTTTTTTTTGGCTAAACAGTTTGTGAGGCAATATGTTGGTGTTTTCTTTTTTATGATGGGAAGGCTCTTTGGAAAAGACTGGAAAAAAGCTTTCTACATATGGTGCAACTCTGAAGTTGCCCAACAGGACTTCCTCTTCCAAGGCACACCCAACGCAATAAAGGTGTCACTGCTTTGCAGACACACATCTGTAAGTGCATTCTACACTGCTGAACAAGCACAAACCCCTGTAACACTGCAGTCTGGTGCAGAGCAAAGACAGAGAGAACCTGCACAGTGAGAACTGCAGGTCTTCAGCTACACCACAGGTCCTTTGACCAATGCATTCCTTTATCTCAAACAGGTTTGGTTTTAACCTCTATTCCCCCATTTTTTTGGGTTGTGGGGTGGGTTGCAGAACTGAACGCAAATATTTCTCATCATAAGCAAATTATTCCCAATTCTATTTTAGGCGAAAGAAAAAGAGTCCTCTTGTGCCTCAAGGACTGAGATTCCTCACATGTTCACTTATGTTTACACTTACCTACATCTTAAACTCTCCTCTTTTCCTGGATTTTTTTTCCTCAAAATCCACGTTCAACCGCTGCAGTACTGCCACCATTTCACCATCCCAGGGGTTTTGCATTCAAATATTTTAAACTATTTCTGCTGTTGTCAAAAAGCATTTTTTCTCCCAATGACTAAAGAAAAGGATGTGCTTACTAACCTTTTCTGAGACTCTGAGTGACTCTGAATAGTCTTCAGTTCAGCCAAGAGGTGAGCTATCTGTAGGGGAAAAAAGTTGTTTGTCTGCTTGCTGTCATAATCCAGCTCAAGCATGGCTATTCTTCATTAAAATAACAAGTAATCAAAACAGCTTTTCAGCTAGAATTTCTTCCGTGCTCAGACTTTGCAGAGACCTTAATGGTCATTGATAAGAACAATCCCACTACAGAACAGAAAACAGGGTCAAGAAATCAAATCATTCAAACATGTCTTATGGATTTCGACCTTACTGTGAGAAGCCAAGTTATGGCCACCTCTCCTCCTCTGCCACCCCATTTCTTCTAGCTCTTCACAAGCACCATGGTCTCACATGCAAGCTTTCCTGAACTTCTGTGAATCCAGTGTTCAAGATTTCCACTGACAGTTTTTCAGCGCAGTTAGATTCTCATAGCACCCCTCAACACCTGAAAAGCTGAAACCTTCTCAGAAGGGGTTCAACTGCACCTACTGATTACATCTAAACTGCCAACTTAGCCTGATCTGCAATTACCAAGGTGTGACAATTGATTAACAATTTAAAAGGCAAAGTACTGAAATCCAGGCTTCTCAAGGAAGGTAAGAAAGCCACAACCAGAATACCTTGGTGCTCTCCCTGGTGATTTCAAAAGTATCTGTTTTAAAAGCTGTGCCATTGAGGTAGACTGTTGACTTGGACATCTAAACTGCCAACTTAGCCTGATCTGCAATTACCAAGGTGTGACAATTGATTAACAATTTAAAAGGCAAAGTACTGAAATCCAGGCTTCTCAAGGAAGGTAAGAAAGCCACAACCAGAATACCTTGGTGCTCTCCCTGGTGATTTCAAAAGTATCTGTTTTAAAAGCTGTGCCATTGAGGTAGACTGTTGACTTGGAATCAGGAGTCTGGAGCTCAGACAGTGTCAAAGCACCAAGCTGTTCCTCAATGGAGAGGGAAAGGCCTTCACTGTTCAAGTTAACTTGGTCCAGAGCCTGTGGGAAAGAAAGCAATATAATAAGGGATCACAGTCAATCCTGAGGTCAAATTCAGTACCGATCCACAGTCTGCACAACATCTGCTAAGGACAATGGGTTTGAAGGAAGCTATGCAGTATGAAGACAGAACCACTACTGGGTCAGACCAGCAGTCCCTTTAGACCCTTATTCCGCCCCAAAAAGGGACAGCATAAGGAAATTATGTGAGCTCAGCTATTCTTTGTGGTCCAGCCTCCTCAGATTCCCCCTCCCATAGCATTTAACAACTGCAGGATTAGATGATACAAGTTAAATTCCTGCCTGTTCCCTTAACAGCTGAACTTATTCTACAGCTGCTTTATATGTCAGAGCCATGAACTTCTGAAAAGTTAGTCTGCTTCATGAAAGGCAACTTCAATCAAAGCACTCACAGAGCACTCTAACACACAAGCTCCTGAAACAGGCTACACATGTGCACTTTTCAAGGCTAGATTAAGATCAAGATTTCTATACCATTAAAATTCTGGAGATTTTTAAAAATCTAATTAACAGTATTTCCAGAGACACAGCTGCCCGAAGAGGTCATGCTAGGGAACTCCTCAGTAGGAAGTATTCCAGTCTAAAGCCTCTTAGGCTTTAAAAACACAGAGTCCTAGAAATGGCTCAGTTCATACAGCCCTAGCTAAGAGATGCAAAGGTGTTAAAAAGTCTGTTCACTTACAAAAACATTTTAAAAATCCCCACAAAACACCTCACACCACTACCATACAATGCAATTACCACTTTCAGTAAGGAGAGATGGCAGCAGCACTGACGGAGCCTCAAGAGCATGGACAAGACGTGGACAGTACTTGAGACCTGGGAGGCACTTTGTGAGCTTGCTAGGAATTCCTTCTGACTGATTCCAAACTCTTGTGCAACTGCCAAGGAAAGAAGACAAAACACCAAGAGTTCTTGCTGGCATTTCTGAGCAGTGCCCAGCCACCTCCAGGAAGATCAGTAAGACACAAGAATCAACAAGCAAGCCAATACCTAATTTAACATAGGAGCCCATCAAACCCCACTTAAAGCCCATCAAACCCCATACCTTATGCTAATACTGACATGTATTCTCTGAGCAATTAGACCTTGGTTTCAGAAGGAAATTTTAGACCCAGGGAAGTTAAGAGACTTTCCCAGAGCCATGACAGTGAGAACAGACTTAGAGCACTATGGTAGGATTCTCTGTAACATCAGGGGAGCATTTTCCAAAGAATTTCTAAGTCCTGACCCCATGTGGCCAGGTCTATTCCCCTTTCTTAACTGTGCACTTAAGAGCCACTTCTCAAATGTTTTCAGGGGAGGGTGTGCTCAAACCTCTCTCAAATGGGTTACCACCAGCATACTCTCTGCCTTCATTTTTCTGCTCTTGTCTCTTTAGGTAGGATTGCAGTGTTGACCTGGAAAAACAAGGCAAAGGCTGTGAGATTTACAGCAGGAAACAAAAGGCAAGAAGGACCCGAGCCTACCAAGCAAGTTGATGATGCATTAAGGTAAGGAAAAATTCATTAATCAATCAGTCACAAAATGATCACAAAGGAAACCAATCCAGTTTTGTTTAACTTGAGTATGATTCAAACCAAGATCCATTTTGGAAATCACAAGAGGAAGCAATTCTGCTTACTGGAATACCTTGAGTACAAGGACACCTTTAAATGTATATTTAAAAGGAAGGAACACTCTTTACAGCAACACCATTGAAAGAGAAGTAATTCTCTCCTTTACAGGTGCTGGCACATCATTTAAGAACTACTGTTGCAATTCCAAGTCTTTGGAGCCTTGAAATCATTGAGATTATGTGTAAGGCTACAATACAAAGCTCACACAAAGGGATGACCATACGGGAGAAAAGAAATCAATCAATTTTGCTTACTATCAGAACAAGCAAGGTATTTCCAAACATACTTGACAGATAGGGAAAAAATTAACAGGAGTTTGTCGAAACGCTTTTCTCATCTGAATTGAATTTCTCTTTCTGATTTTCATACCAGTAAGAATCAAAACTATAAAATACCATATCTCTAGCCACATTCATACCTGGATCTTGCAAAGAGCACATTGTACACAGACTGCTCCTCTTCTGAAAGTTTTAACTGATGCAACTGTGTGCTACGCTGGGGCAGAGATACCTGAAGTAAAAATACACAGGATCACATAGTGCAAAAATCTTACAGAGCATCACAAATGCCAGCAAGATCCAAGACTTAACATAGTATTGTAAGTCTCAGAAGACAGCTGTTTATTCATTAAAGCTATGTGCATTAATGCAGCTATGACACAACACAGATTCTCACAGAACTCCACGTGGCCTGGTGAACACTCAAGATAAAAATCCTTATTCCAACTCATCCGATAACAGAGACATGAGCTGCTGCACAACTACCATGGAAGGATTCATTTTTGCATTGTAAAAGTAGCTTCGCATCTTCCCCATTCAGAATCACACAGTATACCAAAACTACAGCTTTTAAAGGCTTACAGACACACCAGCGACATAATATTCAGTTCAACAAGTTGTTTGTAAAGAGCAATGCATAAACCAAATGCTCCAGGACACACTAGGTCCACTTGGCATGCAGCAGCTTTGATACTCAGAGATCTAGGCTAACTTTTCACTAAGCAGCCATCCACTTGCAATTACTCGGCATATTCTTGTCTGCATGTGATTTATAACTAAAAGGTTTATTCTGTATATTTCTGCTTTCTGGATAAGCAATCAAAGCATCTCACAGGTATTCGCTTCTCTTGCTCAAGAGACTGCAGTAGGCAGCAAAACTCACCCATTAACAAATTTGTGCATGTAAATAACTAACTGGCTGCTGCAAGGAAAACAACGGAATGGTGGTACAGTTGTGGAGGGTGAAGTTCTTACCAAGGGTTTGCCAGCTGAATCCAGCTGGTCCTTAGTTCTCCGCAATAAGAGGCTCCTGGTTAAGAGGCTTAGCCTCTCTCCTCCCTTCATTGTGTTGTTATCTACTTGGTACTTCCACACTTTGTATTCATCAAAAGGAGAGCAACGTAGAAACCTGTGACAGGAAGGAAAGAGACTTCATACCAAGGGAAGAACAGTTCTTCAGTTACACGAGTGACCAGAACCAAATTCCTTGCTATCCAGACCAAACCATTCCCAAATGCCATAACTTCCAGGAGTAGTAAAACTCTTCCAGTGTGATGACACTGATAACTTGTTTGCTCAAAAAGTCTTACTAACGCCATGAAAGAATCTTTCTAATTCTGTACCCATCACTTCCTCTCAGCCCATTAGGTCTCAAGCATCACCAGCAAATGAAGGACATCAAGATGCAGAGGCACTTGCCAAAAGGTCTGTTCATTTGTTATTTCAAAATCCCAAACTTTGTACTCAAAAATTAATTTCAATTATCCAAAATTAATTTCAAATGCAAGTTCTCTCTAGTTCTCCAGCACCATTTGCAATCTTTCTCTCCTTAGAATTGAGGAGCACTTGTTTATCATTTGTTCAGAGAAATCAAAGTTTTTACTCTACTTCAATGCCCTTGTAGCACCCCAACACTCTTAAGACAGTCCACCCAGGCTGCCCTGGTAGGAACAAGGCAAAACTCACAAAACTTCTGTTCATTAGAATTGGTTTTGTGAATACTCATCCCGGAGACATAGGAGATGTGAAGTAATTTCCCCTTTGTCCTCCATGGAAGCAGAAAAGCTACACACAACAGTAGACACATGGTCATCCTTGTGCAATCCAGTGCCTGTAGGGTTACTAGTTTTGCTACTGCACATATCTTAGAAACATCTCAAACTTAGAAACAACTTCAGCACTTCACATGAGTTATTAGAATTGGAGCCTTGTCCATGTGGTCACATGCAGCCAGCTCACCTCAGGAGAGAGTACATGTCCAGCAAGTTGTTCTGTATTGGTGTCCCAGTGACAGCCCATCTGGCAGTGGCTCTCAGTTTGCACACAGCTATAGAGGTCTGAACCCTTGGGTTTTTAATATTGTGAGCTTCATCCAATATAACTCGAGCCCAAGCTACCCTGAGCAGAGGGGAGCAAGGAGATGCCCCACTCTGAAAGAAAAAGCAGAAGATTTATAACCTGGAACAATAACCTTGCTAGGCTCTCCACATGCAAACATTTTTCCAGCAAGAAGCCTTTTCCTCACATTAGTCAGCAGTAATTTGTGCTCTTGCTGCCATGTAAGAAATGGTCTCCAAATAATCACCTCTTTAAAGCCTCCATGACAGCTTACAAACCAAAGACTATAACATATTGGCATGTTATTAATAACAATTTCTAGTATTTTGCTGCTTTTCTTGCTTTTAACATTTTACCACTTCTTTCTTCCCAAGAGGCGTTTCATATTGGTAAAATTTGTCCAGACTGAAACCAAGTGCCCCACAGAATGATTCTGATCTCTCAATGGAGAGATTGGCATTGGAATAGGTTGCCCAGGGAGGTGGTGGAGTCACCATTCCTAGAAGTGTTTAAGAGGTGTCTGGACCTGGTGCTGCAAGATATGGTTTAGGGTATAGGGGTTACAGTAGAGTGACAGGTTAATGGCTGGACTTAGTGATCATAAACATCTCTTCCAACCTTGATGATTCTACGAACGGTTTCATAGATGCCACTTAGAAGCTTCAGGAAATTCAGAATCCTGGGTTTTTTACATATTTAGATCTGTACACACAGGTAGGAGACAACACACCAGGAAAGGGACTTCCTCTATACTGTGTCGTCATTTCAGTTAGCATTCAGCAGTCACCTTATTATTTTCATAGCCTAGCAAATACACTGCTGTTTCCTCAAGGCAGTATGTAAGCTGCCTCAGCCTCAGTCCAGACAGACCCAGAGCCTGAGTGCAACAGGTTCCTGGTAGTTCAAAGTGACATCACTCCTTCAAGCAACCAAAGAACACCAAATGGGAGATTCCTGTGTTCCCTCACCTCAAAAGGAGGAGTATGTGATTCATCACAGTTCTTAACATTACAGTTTAAGACATTTCAACTGTATTTAATGTAGTATAATCTATACAGATTATACAGAACAGATTTATTGTGAATATTGTTCCCTATTGTCTTCCTGCACTTGACAGCACTTTCTCTTAGCACTTTATTTTTGTGGAAATGAAGAAGTCAACAGGGGCTTATAGAAAAAAAAATTCAAGCTGCTGCTCGCTGTAGCACAGACAAGATGGCACTTGAAATAATAATGGTTTGCAACACCTCAGACCAAAACCTTAAAGCAATTCCCTATGTATGGCTTCTCACCCCCACATCATGGTCCTCAGCAGGAGTTTCACCCTCCTCTTTGCTCGTGGGAACCTCCTTGGAGAGAAGGGTGTAGGTTGTGACAACAACATCATATCCAGAAAGCCTGCAGAAAGGGGAAGTAGTACTCAGGAGCAAGAACTAATGAGGAATTCATTTTGCGAGACAGCCAAAACACATGCTCAAGAATACATTTAAGAAAAACACAGTTCTACAAGGACTGAAATGCTGAGTTTTACAGAAAACTGAGCTTCATAGCAGTCAAACAGGAAGGACACGTTGTCCCCATTGGACACTGGAAGTAGACCCAGCAAGCTCAAGATGACAGTAAAAGTCAGTGGTACAGAATGCACACCACATGGGATGAACCCTACTTAGAATGTGGCACCTGGAAGTACTGCTCAGCATGGCCTGAAGGGGTGTAGAAAATTTCCTGATCTATACATACAGCTGATGAAAAAAACCCAACCACAAAGCACAAGCATGGAAGAAACTGCCACTGATGACCTCTGCAAGCAAGAGATGTTTTAGAGAATATACACTTACTTTTTTAATCAGAAGCAGCAACAGCCTCCACCAGAACTATTCAGCAGGGGTACAGGCCAGAAAGGTTTCATTATATACACCCTGACCACAGACATCAGCCTGACTTTCTGAATCTCCCACATTTCCATACTTGACATTCTTCTATCATTCTACAGCCACTGAATTTCAACTTGGATAAACACAAAGTCTTGCTGCACAGTATGTTACTTTTCTTTGACCATATTTATGGTTTAGCACTTACACCTCTGCATGCTTATCTCTGTTTGGTCCATGGTACAAATAGACCCTCAGTTTGCCAAATGCCACTCGTCTGTCAATCTCTTTCTTCCAGTGATGGATTAAGGATGCTGGACAAATGATTAAAGTACTGTGGGAAGGGACAACAGTGGACTCTGAAAGAAAATATTACAGATAGGTTTCAGTGTCTTCACATTCGACTGGAACAAAGACAGAAATTTTGGAAATTTACAATAATTAAGAAGAATGTCCACTTTTCCCATGAGCACAGTTTGTGAAGTGGACATCTCTACATTACATTCTTAGGGACTGTTAGTTCTGGGTGGAAAAAACTCTACTTAAACACTAATGTGTAAGTCGTGACTGCTGTTCCTGTCTGCTCAGGGTTAAGCTATATACCTGTGCACTTCCTTTGGATAAGCTGCAAGGTTAGAATACAAGAACTAACTCTGATCTCCCCCGAGAATACAGTACCAAATAAAGTCTTCTTTCCTGTTCTAGAAGACTGAAAAGTTACCACTTGGAACCACACAAGAAAACCACACACAGAGCCAGTAAACCTGGCAACACAGGAAACAGTAGCCCAACCACTTGCATGAGGATGCAGATGGTAACAGGCTATGGACACAAAAAATAATACTCATTAGAAACTCTAACATCCTCAATGTCTATGGACAAGATAAAAGTAATCTTCTGGGGTTAAGGAGGGAGGAAGGTCAGCCACACGGAGGTGAGTAGTAACTAATTCGAGTCTTTATGAAAGATGCTTATGTTTGCATATGTTTAAAAAACTATGAAACTTTTACCAAAACATCATATGTTGGCTTTAGTGGTTTCAGAAAAGAATCATTCAAAAAAACCATAAAAGTAATGAGTTGGGAAATCCTATACATCCAATGGAAGACCAAATGACACCAATCAGCAAGAAGCCTTGCAAACGAGTGTAGTAAACAATCACCCAAATTAATTTTCCTACAGAAGGAAAGTGAGCACAGATACAGTCTGTTGTTCTATGAGCCATCAGCCTATAATGCTTTAGGCATTTCAAATGGCACTTTAGCATAATCTATGTACTGTATGATGGAAACAGTTCTGTACCATTTTTGGAGATCCATATTTCTAATGTCTCCTTCCTTTTCTCTGTCTTCAGTTGCTTCTGGGCCAGAATGAGAGCAATCATCGTTAGAGTCTTCCCCAAGCCCATGTCATCCGCTAGAAGAAGACACACAAAAGTTGTGATGACCTGCAGAAATGAGCCCTCTTAGCTCAGATCTACAGTGAGGTAAATACTACAACAGAAATTGCCCTGAGGAACCCAGAAAATAAAAATACACATATGAAGATTTCAAGATATGATTTAGTAACTGGTTAATAGCTGTAATCGGTAAAAAGGCACAGAACAACAAGCCTTTTTTACATGCCCACAAGATAACTAGCTTTTGGCCTTCAACACAGTTACAGGCCAAACTGTTGCTGCCCTAAATCTGCTCGCCAAAACCCACTTTCCTGTACTGTTGCTTACCCAGAATTCCTCCACATGGCCTCTGACTCTCTCTCCAGAGCAGCCATGCGAGTGCCTGTTTTTGGTGCAGCAGCAGTGGAACCTGAGATGGCAAGACAGAGAATTTGAAGAAAACACCCCACAAAATTCAGACACTTCTGCTTCCTGATCCTGTTGAACTGTTCTACTACTGTCTTACTGAAAGGAGTTTGCCTACCTGTTCCTTTCTCACATGGACTGAGACACCCAAGGTAAGCAACTCTTGCAGACAGGAGGTCAGCATCATCACAGATCAGTCTTCTTAATGCTTCCTGCACAAACCAGTCTAGTGCCTCACAGTGCTCTGAGAGAGCAGGTGAGGACAGTCCTTTCAGGTGGAAAATCCACCCAAGACTACCCTGCTCACAACAGGTATCACTGTCAAGGAAAGGGACTGAGAACACTTCCCCTTTTCTCACTGAGTCTAAGGCCCCTACAGACTCTTAAAACAGGAAGAGGGACCACATACTACCATCACAAGACTGTAAGTGGCCTTCTCCAACACTGAAGATGTGACAAGTGACACAATGTATATGCACCAAATACACCACCTTGTAGAAGCACGTGCCTTCCAATACCTTGCATATAGCCTCAACCATGGGTTCTGCATCACCTGACAGATGAAGAGCTGCTATTTGGCACATCAGAACGGACTATTCTGGAGTCTGTTCCATTGCATGAACTCAATCACCTACACAACACTTTTTAAAGAGACTATTTCTTATAGCTCACCAGGAAAAGAGAACAATAAGGTTCTCAGCCTGTTCCTTGTGCCTCTGCTCTGCCAGTCACATACAAACAAATGGTTGTGGGTTGGTTGCTTTGTCTAAGGCACTACTACTGCATTCAAGCACTAAGTATTCTGAAGACACCACAGCAAGAGGGTAGAACATCAGTACTGGCAATGTGAAGCAACTTTCATGGATGGAAAGTAATTAGAGCATCTCCTTCAAGCTGGATGAAAACAGTGAAATATCTGAAAGTGAAAAGGAAGGGGCATGATCTAGGGTATCACTCAAGTTATGCCTCATTCATAAGCATGACATCCTCCATCCCTGCCAACTCACCTTCAATCCAGAGGGATCTTCAGCTGCTGTCTGGTCTGTTGGACAGGATTCTAGAGATTTGTGAAGATGATTAATAGCCTCACTTGTGGCACTGTGTACAGCCCTGATTCGGTCTTCTGTCATTCTTCCCCCATAAAGCTTCTGCATGCCAAAGTTCACTGGAAAGATACAATATTAGGTATGAGAAGTGTTTACAAAGCTAACTTTCCCAAGCAGATCTTTCACCTCAGAGACTGACTTCAGTGGCTACAGATGCCTAGGGGGCTGTATGCAGCATACAGTAACAAAAAAGGTTTAGTATTCTCACATATATCCACGAGTTGGAGGATTATTTCAGAAATAGTGTTCCCTCTAACGAAAAGGTGTTTATATACTTACTTCCAAAACTCTGGCCACAATATCCACTGGAAGTAGCAGTAGCAACAGGGTGACGTGAGCCTGAAGAGGTCTTTGCTGTAGGATCCTGGAGTGGTAGTGGTGCTATCAGCTTTGTACCTTCTGGCCTGCCCAATGGGTTAAGCAAAAATTCTTCACAGCAGCTGCTGCTTGTGCTGTCCGGCCCTTAAGGAGGAAGGAATTGCAAGCTGAAAATGTTGCACAGTGAACCTCAGAGCCTTGTACTACAGACCAGAGAAGAGCCTTCATTTTGCCCAATAGTCTGCCTGCAAGATATTATTAAGTTGTCACACAACTTTAATAGCAGGTTACTGTATCACCTGAGCTATTACAACTACTAACATGTGTGTTCTTAGCCTGCTCCTACATGACAAGCCATGAGCTCAGCTCCAGCCTCAATGTGTAGTTGATACCAATACAGTGAACTCTGCAAATGTGATCAGATTGGTCCAAACACAAGGTCAACTTTGCACACCATTCCCAGTCAATTTATTAATTCTGAAGACATTTTTCCTGTCAATATTTTGGATGCAAAAACTATTAAAACATCCAAGAACAAACAGATTGAGAACGTATGAGCCTCTCTCTCCTTCCTGGAAAGGCTTGTCTTGCTTAAAACCAGATGTGGTATAAGGCATTGGAACTGCTTTGTTATGTGGTGGCCTGTGAGTTACTGCTTCCTTGCTAGAGATCTTCAGTTTCCAGAGCTGTCAAACTGGATCAATGCAATTGATACTATGATGACAAAGTAACTCTCCTGTGGAGATTATTCTACATGTTACTCAATAAAATGCCTCTCTTCCATGGGTGATTAATACTAGTTAACAGAATTAGGAAATCACTTCACAGAAATGACACACTGGAAGCTGCTCATGTTGTCTCTGGTAACTGAAACATCCAGACACAACAGCCAAAATATGTGTAAGCAACATGGCTCCATACTGCAACAGAGGATGTTAACACTTCACTGCCATGTTCTCATAGAGACAGCTGTCTCAATCATGTAGCCAAAGCTAGAAACAAAACTAGCCCTGGATCCTAGTTATGGGAGGAAACTCCCTTGGGAAGTCAACATACTTCAGAAGGAACATTTGAGTTGTTCCATTCATCTGCTCTCAGACATGCACTTTGCAATTAACACTTTTCATCTTCAATGAATCTCAACAGACAAACTTTATATGTGTCATATATAAGGTTATACTATGTTTTCTCAATACTAACAGCTATTGTAAGACACTGTTTTATAAAGTTCTGGAGCAAAAAACCCGTAGCCTTACCTTTTTCAGTTGTATCTGCTGTGGAAATGTTACAAGCACTGAGTGCAGCTTCCAAATCCTGCACTTGCTTTAATAACCGTTCCCCTTTATCTGGCAGCAGCTGAATGTTCACTGTAGTCAATATACCCTGCAAAACAGGAAAGAAACCAGAAACTGAGCATGCTGATCAAGCTCTCTGCCAACAGAGAGCAATCAGGTCAGAAGTTTAAAAACACTAATCTTATGCCATGTTAATTTGCATTTTGATACTGTTCTGCAATCTCCAGAAGCTTTTAAGTGCCATCTAAGTGCAATTTAGCACTGTCTTTTAGCAGAAAGTAAACTATTAGTGTTCTTTAGAAAAGATGGAAGGGGACAGGGCATCTCCCTTTTTATGAAACCAGATGAACAGGTAGTCAAGTGACTTGGACAATCTTAATATCTCTGAAAGCACCCAACGATAACCTACTTGCACGTTTCTTTCTGTACTAGCACTAACAACAGTTCTGACTTGATTTTGAGGTTCCATTCTAAACTCTAGGCAAACAGGGGGCTTTGTCATAAAAACTATAGAACATAGTTATTAGCAATTTTTTTTTAAAAAAGCAAACAGATGGGTAGTTTATTTCACCTTAGTGTGAGCTTTCATGGCTAGATTACTCTTACTGCACAAGGCCAAGAGAGACCACCAGAAACGTTATTTACAAAAGTTAAGCTGGTCGTGCATGCACTGTTCCATCTTATGCATATTACTTCCAGGGTAAAAGACAGACACAACCCCAAGTGGGTCAAAACTGAGCATCCCCAACACATAACCTCAAGTGGGTCAAAACTGAGCATCCCCAAATGCAGAAGGCTGTATTACTTTAGGGGTAATAGTCTTGTATCTGCTTAAAACAACTAGCCTGTGCATAGACTGCATTCCCTCCCCCGCCCCATCCTCCTAAACCATCCAAGTATTCTGAGTTTCTGCTGTCAGGGTATACCATATTCTGATACCTGTAATGAGTAAGGGAAGTCACTCTGAACACAGAACAATAAACCCCCCAAATAATAGGTGCAATAAATGACCTTCTTCTGCTTCAGCTGGACTACAAGATGGTTATGGAGTGCTTTAGTGTCCTGGGGTCCTTCCACATGATGTAATGCTGCTGCTCCTGGCAAGGATGTCCCCCGCATACTCATTCCTGATTTTCCTGAAGCAATGTCAACTGATTTCTCAGGCTTACTTTTGCCTGATGTGGAACAAACAAATTCTAGTTTGTCACTGTCACTGCCAGAAGTTTCCCCAGCAGGCTGTCCCAGCCCTGGCCTGATTCCTGCCTTGGGCAGCACTGACCCTGCACCTCCCATCAGGGCAGTGTGCTGCGGTGCTGGCTGTGGTACTCCTGGGGAAACGGCATCATCTTTATGCATCAGTTTCATTTCTCCATTTTTCTGACCAGTGTAATTTTTTTCTCTTGTTTCTTTATCCCCACAGCTTTTTAAGCTTTTTCCTCCAAGTGGCTCCTCCCCTGAAGGCTTGGTACTTGTACTTTGCTGTCCAAGACTTAGTGGAGAGAGTTTTGATCTCTCGACTGGCTCTTTGTTCACACGTTCAGAAGACTTCTTGGATTCCTTGCCACTATATTTCTCTTCCTCCCAAAGAGCATTTTTCCCTTGCTGGGCCCCAGAAAGACCAAGTTTAGATTCGGACACTGTAGTCTCCTTACATTCTGGATCACTTGTACTTCCTGTGGATGGTTTATTTTTAGTTTTCAGCCCTTCTAGAGGTTCCATCTCTGTGGAGGAAACAGAAGTTGATTTTTTTCCTTTATGTGACACCAGCATGCTCTCCTTCTCTACTTTTCCTTCTTTGGCTTTATTTTCCTCTGTTTCCTTGATTCATTTCTTTCCAGAACGCTGGCTTATAGTTCTTGTCTAGCACTTTGAATGGATTTCTTTGGCTGGTGGGATTGAAGAGAAGTGCTGTGCTGGGCTGTGATTCTTTGGCTTTGGACACTTTGGTAGCTTTTAGATCCTGCAATATACACAAGGGAATAAACGCTAATGCTCAAATTATTAAAGCCTGTTAACTATACACACAACCTGATCACTGCAAGACTTCATCCTCTACAAAGATCTTTAACAGAATCAAGATAAACACTGTACAGGCCGCGCGTGTCCCCCTCGCACCTACGGCGCGGGCAGCACCGTACAAGCTCTTCCCTTCGCTGAGGCCACCGCGGGCTCCTGTCTTCAGGGAACACAGCGACGCTGCAGGGCGGGGGAGAGCGGAGCTGGTCACACCGGGACCCCCGAACCCTGCCCG